ACAGGCTGTAATGGCATTTTGAACCATTTCACAGAAAAGATGCAGAGTTCAGCATGCAATTTCAGCGTTTGGCTCCCCAAACAAATGGCTGTCACAGGGAAGGTGGTGTTTCCATTCACAAGAGCACCAATACAGTTGGGAGTGGGGAGGCAGTTGCAGATCACCGGCATCTTAAATAGGACAACATCTAATCCTACTGGGAGCAATGCTCAAAAGATGAGAAGGTGACAGAAACCCTATGCTAGCTCTGCGGGCAGGTCTGGGATGAGCAGCAGTGTAAGAAAGGAGCCTGAATTAACAGATAGCTAGAAGTATATGTGGCCCAGGAGGACTGGTGGGGGAAGGGAAATTGCTCCTACTCTACTTGCCCACCCTCTGCTTCCTCCCCCAACTCTTTTCTTTCCCTCCATGGGTCATGCACCTGCCCTCCTAACCCAGTCTTTCTTTACCCCCTCCCAGCTACTTGCTTCACTTGCCCTGTTTTCTTTCCTCTCACCAGCTCCCCTTTCCCCTTGCAGCTCCCCACTATTTGCCTCCCCCTATCCTCCTGCTGTCCCAACTTATATCCTGATATTTGCAACACTGGTTTTCAGGTGCCATTTGGAGTCAGCCTGGCCACTGAAAATGCCACCTGAAGCTCTGTTCTCCCCCCTCCCCCACATCTGAGCATCCACTAACACTGCTGTTACTGTTGGGAGGGGATTAACCCCATTAAAGACTTTTTATATTTTTCTGCAAACCTGGTTAAAAAATCCCAGGGTTCTTGTTCTTATTCCATGACCAGCAGTCCTACGATCTGCCTAGAAGCACACCATTGTGTGATTTAAATCTACCAGTGGGTAACTGTGTTGTAAAAAGGTAAAGGTAAAGGTTCCCTTGCTCGAAAGCCAGTCAAATCCGACTCTAGGGTTGCGGTGCTCATCTCCGTTTCAAAGCCGAAGAGCCAGCGCTGTCCGAAGACGTTTCTGTGGTCATGTGGCCGGCATGACTAAACACCAAGGCGCACAGAACGCTGTTACCTTCCCACCGAAGTGGTACCTATTTATCTACTTGCAATTTCTTGCTTTCGAACTGCTAGGTTGGCAGGAGCTGGAACTAGAGATGGGAGCTCACTCCATCATGCGGCACCTGGGTCTCAAACTGCTGAACTACTGACCTTCCACAGCCTGCAGTTCAGCAACTTAACCACTTGAGCCACCGCAGCAAACACAAAAAAAGGATTCTTGGGATACCTTAATGACTAACCAATTAGTTGCAGTAAAAGATTTAATAGGAAAGGGCCCTTTGTCAGATGTATCAGGTGAATTCTCAGGCAGCAGATATATAAGTGTTTATGTGTGTGTGCACACACATACATATCCACACACACACAATACATATATACAAATACAGAGTGAGATGTGACCTGTGTGGTCATGAAATGTAAGTGGTCCAGTCTGTGAAATTTCTATGCAAAGAATTATGCAAGCTAACCACAGCAACCATTTACAAGACAACCACTGTGATGAGTTATGTTAAGCAAGTTAACACTGGTTGTGGCTAAGGAATATGTGGCTTATGTTTAAGCCCCCATTAATATCATTAAACCTTCTGATACTAAGCAATTTCCTGCTAACATCTCCCTTTCTCCTGTAAGTTGTTCTGCTGAAGAATAACAGCACTTTAAAGACTAACAAACTTTATTCCAGGAGGTTTCCCAAGCAGAGCTCACTTCATTAGATACATGAGGTGTACATTCATTAGGTTGATGCATTATATTTGCAACAGAAAGACAAGGTGGGGAGATATTACTCAGGGCTGCATCAACATGGGAGTACAAAAACATGTCCCTGCAGCAAGTGAACTGGAACAGTATCCACATAATCCGTTCCTGTTCCACTCACTGCTGCCACCACCCCCTGGTCATGTCTGCACTGTGTGGCCCCTCGTGGCAGAATGGTTAGAGTGTCAGACTAGGATCTAGGACTGGTCCGTAGCCAGGATTTTTTATTATTATTTTTTTGGGGGGGGCTTTAAATAAGTCGGGGGCACCTCCACACACACCCCTGCACATCCCTCCCAAGTGAGCAGCCCTACTCCCGCCCTTCCCCGCAGCTGAGTGGCGGGCTGCCAGGGCAGGAGAGTGGTGAGCCCACCAGAGGAGGCTGCCTTTGTTACCCGCCTGGCACTGCAGTTCCTGCCCCCACATTCTCAGCCCTGATGGCTGCTCCTCCTCCTCCAACCACAGCTGAATGGCAGGCAGGGAGAGCTGGAGCAGGGGTGCACATGTCCCCTGTACTGGTGCCTGCTCACCTTTTGGCTGGTGCGCCTGCTGCCAATAGTGGGGAGGTGAGAGAGCAGTGTGGGATTGGAGGGCAGGGCAGATTCTCGGAGACTCAGGTTCAAATCCCTACTTCTGTGAGCGAAGCTTTGCTGGGTGACCTTGGGCCAGTCACACATTCTCAGCTTAAACTACCTCTCAGGGTTGTTGTGAGGATAAAATGGAGCAGAGGAGAATGATGTGAGCCACTTTGGATCCCGACTGGGGGAAAGGTGGATTATAAATAAATAATAAATTTCCCTATGGAGCCATACTGTAATGCTACAGCAGCTGAGACAAGAAACCCCCCTTTAAAGGGTAGGATTTAGTTTTGCCCTCTCTCCACAGTAGCTAGAAATATAGAGTCCAGATGGCACATAGCCACTCCGTAGTTTCCCCTTTAAGCGAGAGAAAATTAAGCTATGCTCAAACTGGGCACCACAATATCTGGATAATCCTGTTTACTGTAGAGGCTTCCCGCTGCCCATTTGGGGTGGGGGGAAATCCCTGTGTAGAGGGTAGCTATCAAGAGGCCAGCTTCAATCAAGATCCAGACAAAACAGTAATCAATACACTCAGAGTGGGTGAGAGCCACTCTCAGTGGCTGTCAGATGGGCGAAAATCTAGCACAGAAGAAAATGAGGGAAGTCGATACAATAGAAAGTTGAAGAATGGTGACTTTCAGGTTGCCAACAGAGTCCTGGTAGGTTGAAATATTCTGCCACAGGTTTCTGAATGCAGTGATGTCCGATGTCAGATTTGAAGAAGAAGAAGAGATTGGATTTATACCCCGCCCTTCACTTGGAGTCTCAGAGCGGCTTACAAACTCCTTTCCCTCCCCCTCCCCACAACAGACACCCTGTGAGGTGGGTGGGGCTGAGAGAACTCTAACACAAACGGCTCTTTTTCAAGGACAGCTGTGCCAGAGCTTGTGACTGACCCAAGGTCACATCAGCAGGTGCAAGTGGAGGAGTGAGGAATCAAACCCGGTTCTCCCAGATTAGAGTCTGCACACTTAACCACTACACCATTTCTCTTTTTGCATAGAGACTGACTTGTTTGTAGGGGGCAGAAGGATGATGGGTGGTGGCATGCATGCCATTGGGGGATGAGCCCATGATGGGATGGCTGGTTACTGGGTTCTGTGTAGGTCCTGGAGCATCTGGGCTTATTGCTGGATCTGCTCCCTCGGGCAATGTCACTGTTAGGCAGGAATTATTCAGAGGGTTAGCTGTACTAGTCTATTGCACCAAAATAAAAAAGAAGTCTAGTAGCACTTACTAACAACATTATAACAGTATGAGCTCCCATGAGTCAGAGTTCACTTCTTCAGATACTTATTGTTAAGAAATCATTTCAGAAACTTGTGTAACAAAAACCGGGGGAGGGGAAGAAAGAGAAGTTGGAGCAAGGGGGGGGGGAAGCTTGGTATGAATCCTGTTATAAATCTTCTAGGCTGATTCCTTGTGTAAAGGACTACAATGGATTTAGTTGCTGCACATTATAAGAAAGGCCAGTATTTCCATCCTCTCCTACAAATAAACCAAGTGTAATGAACACATGAAGCTGCTTTACACTGAAACAGACCATTACTCCATCAAGGTCAGTATTATCTACTCAGAGTGGAGTGGTTCTCCAAGATCTCAGTCTTTCACATCACCTACCACATGGTCGTTTCAACTGGAGATGCCAGGGATATTGGACCTGGGACCTTCCACATGCCAAGCCGATATTCTGAGCCAAGGTCCCTCCTCTTAATCGTATCGGATCAACATGACTAATCAAGGAAGAAGCAGCCTGAACTCAGAAGGGTACTTGCTAGCATGTTTAGAAGAGTCAATTTAGCAGGTCAACAACCACCCCGCCCCCCGCATCTATTAAGTGGCACACTGTTGCCGGGATACCACTGTCTGCGGTTAGAAAGCTCTTTGTAAATGAGAGGCCCTGAAAGAGAAACGTCTCGTGCCTAGGCCAAGGCGGAGTGTAATAACCTCATGGTGAACGAGTTCAAGTTTCGGCGAGGTCGATGGGATATGTAGTCTTTTTTCATCTGCTGGTCACAGGGACCACCAAGGGCAAATCCAGATATGACACTACATCTCCCAAGATGCTCTGCACGGAAACAGGCTTGCCGTGGCTGACCCCAGCAACAGGGGCTGTGGCACTTTGCCCTTGGACAGGATGTGGTCAATTCTATGTAGTTACTTATATGATATAATTAATTCGCTGCCATTTAACCCGTACAAGTAACCTGAGATACACTCTCGCCTCAGCTTCCCGGCGGCTCTTTCATACCCCAAATCCTGAGAAGCACGTCGCTCGCTCGCCGTCTCTTCCCGTCTTTGAATCTCGTGCAAGCCTTTCCTGGGAGCTGTAGTCCTCTTTCTGCAAGAGCCTCCGTGATAGCCAACGGTCGGCTCGGCAAGAAACGACTACATTTCCCATCAGACTTTAGGATACTTGTCGCGGATAAGAAGGGGAAGGAGTCTGAATAAGGAGATGGGGGTACGAGATTATGCAGGAGCAGGTGGTCGACGCCAGGCGCGCGTTTTCCCCTAAGCATGCTGGGAGGTGTCGTTTTTATTCAGCCACCATCCATAGCTGCCAAGGGGCACTTGCGGTCCCGAAGAACTACATCTCCCATAAGCCTCCCCGCTATAGCTTCTCGCGCGCCGAGTATCTGGGCCTTTTGCTGCTGTGAGGCGGTGAGAGGTGGACGAGAGCGGGTTGCGGTGGCGAGTGAGTTGTGTGGTTATCGCCTTCGATCCTCGAGGTTGGGAATTCTTTTTTTTTAACCTCATACCTTACGATCGGAGGAGGGGTGGCGGCGCGGTGAGGCCTAGAGAGGTGGGGGAGCGACGGCTGCGCGGGGGGGGGGCGTCATTCCTGAGGTAAACTGGTTTACGGTGTGTCGGGTTGGGTGGAGCCCCAAAACTCTCGAGCGGCTTGGTCCGGGAGGGAGCGCCAAGGCCTCTCAGGGCACCCCCCCTCCCTTTGAACTCGGCTGCGACGCTTGGCCCTACCCTTGCCCTCGGTGCCCCGTTCACGTTAGGAGCTTCTAGAACCCTCGCCGGGTGCAGATTTACTTCCGTTAAAAGAATCGCTACTTGATAGAGGGTTTTTTTGGGGGGGGGGAGGGGGCGGGTCGTGGGGATACTGAAGTCAGTGATTTTAGAAGGGTGTCACTCTACACTAATAGACTGAAACAGAATTACTGGTTGTAGGTTACATAGCTGGTTTAATGGCAAACAGAGATTAAACAAACAAGAGATCAAACATTTCTTTAATTCTTCCTATAAATCAAATAATGATCTTTTCTTCTTTGAATTAGTATACTTGCCATTATGAGGTATCTGTGACCCGACTCAATGCTATTGTTTTTGCTGCAGGTATATAATTGGAAATAATGTTCATTTGTCTTTTAGTACACTGCTTTTTAAAAATAGGGAATAGTAATAGAATCTGAAGTAGGGATGTGCATTCGGTTCGTCTGAACCGAATGCACCCCCGAAAATGGCCCATTTGGGCCCCTTTCGAGCTGCTGTGGGCCGATTCAGATTCTCTGATTTGAATCGGCTTGCTGCCGAATTGCCGCCGAAATTTGGCAGCCATTCGGCCCCATTATATCCTATGGGCCATTGAAGTCAATGGTGAAAACATAGGGTATATTCTGGGGGCTGGAGGGAAGGGGGTTTGAGAGAGAGGCTCCAAACTTGCAGGGTAGATGCTGGAGCCTCTCCCCAAGATACCCACTAAGTTTCAAAAAATTGAATTGGTGGTGGGGCAAGCTGTTTGGGGGCCCGTAGAATTGGACCCCCTGGTCCAATGTTTTTGAAACTTAGTGGGTATCTTGGGGAGAGGCTCCAGCATCTACCCTGCAAGTTTGGAGCCTCTCTCTCAAACCCCCTTCCCTCCAGCCCCCAGAATATACCCTATGTTTTCGCCATTGACTTCCATGGCCCATAGGATATAATGGGGCTGAAATTGACATTCAGCTGGCTGATAGACTGCCGAATTGGTGATACTAACATGCTGGAGTCTTACTGCTGGCCTAAATTGATTCTGCCTGATTCCCCCGAATCCGAATCGGCCAAAAAAAATTTTTTGGGGCACACCCCTAATCTGAAGGGAAAGAATTCCTAAACCTCATCAGTGATATTTGCAATTCAGTCCTAAAATTCTTTTACTACAAGACACAGCCAACAAAAGTGAAAGATTCTACCTCCTCCCCTTCCACACTTAAATTTGCTACAGTTGTCTGACTGCTGCCGTGGAAGGTCTCAGGTGCAGTCTTGGGTCATAACATGTTATTGTGTTGACTTCATACATATTCAGTACAGAACAACTGAGATACCCGTGGGAAAGAAGTAGTAGGAAATAAGCTTTTAGGCTGTTTTCTGTGTTCAGCAACAACTGTTAACCAAAGCCTGTGGTAGTACAATAAGATATGTTGCTGCATTTTTGGTTATATTCCTGTTAATGTTTTAAACTTGGTGAATCTTCTTTCTTATCTGTAACCACGGAAATTGGAAATAATATCATTTTGCTTTAAGAATAATAATTATTTTATGGCGTTGTATGTAGAATAGCCAGGAGATCTTGAGATTGGCAGTCCCACTGACTTCATTTGGACTTTCTTATGAATTGTAAATTCTTGCTTGCTGGGCAGCATTGAGGACAGAGAATTTGCTACTGCTGTTTTTGCCTGCTTAAACTGAATGGTGTTGCTTTGCACCACTGAGTCTAAAAGAGTAAAAACTGGGAGCAACAACTAAGCCTGGGCTCAACAAATCCCAGGTGTTGGGTTGCCTAGAATTTCATTGTGGTGCTCTACTTTCAGAAGTGATTTTATTGTTCTCAGTGGAGGTACAAAGCTTATTTATTACTTTGCATCTGAATATTTTGGTTTATGACATAAAAACAATTGTGCATTAAGTTTTTGTCACTTCTTGTTTATATGTAAAGTTAATTTTACACCATTCAGTGCTGCTGGATGATTTAAGCTGCTTCTTATATTAGCTCCAATATTCAATTAAATGGAGTTCTGAAAAATAATTCCTATATTTTCTACAACACCTTTCACCACAGCTTTAATAGCATTGAAAGAAACTGTGAAGACTAGTTAAGGATTAGAGTTTGCAGTAGCAGTAATCAGAAAATATGGTTATAAAAATATAAAACCCTGAATGCTGAAATATGAGTATGGCTCTTACATTTTTGGTCAAGGCCTCCACTAAGCTGTGCTTTGATTTTCTTCTAAATAGTTTTCATTTGTTGAGTGTCATCAGTTTCCTTTATTCAGCCTCTTAAGCAATAAGATTTTGTGGCTGGGTTCCAATACTCCTTTTCCTAAGGATTCGGTTCCCTTATAAAAGCAATGAGGTTGGGGCTAGCTATTGAGTGACTTTGAGACCATTGCCATTTTTACAAGTGTTACAAGGTGCATTTGGCTTAAGAGGCTCTTCTGAACCCAGGTGTTGGCATGGCCTAAAATTGATATCCAGTGTTTAAATAACGTGGCCAGAATTCTCCCCTTCTTTCCCTGAGAGTGGGTACTTTGTGCTTTGTCATCACTCTCTCTCTCCAGCCACCTTCCCGGCATGCTCTTATGTGAAAACTAATAACAGCCTCTTTCCTGAGCATGCTCAAAAGCAGTACAGCACTTGGAAATCTCTCAGGGCTAGATGTCTCCTCCCTGGGATTGCCTGCTGGCTTTGTGCCAGGACCTAGATGTATTTTAAAGGGTTTGTTAAATGAGACTTGCCATTTGTTCGTGCTGCAACTGTTTCTAAGGGTCAGGGAGACTGAGTGTGTGCTATGCTGACCAATTTCTCCATGATCCTTTGCCAGTTAGTCCAGAGGATTATTAGGTGCTCTTGATCCATTCACTTGCTACAATGTACAAAGTCTGATCTACGTGACAGTGGAGGTCAGTGTGATGGTTAAGGAGGTGTGTATCTATGGCTTACAAACTACAACATAACATCTGGTGTGAATTGCCTTGCTGATTAAATTTCCTGTTCTCTTTTTGTGGAGAGCAACTCGGACTCCCCCTGCTTGGGTTTGCAGATGGTTTTATGCTGCTGACTCTTTAATACTTCATGGTAGGCAATAGCCTCTTCAATCAGTTGAGTGATATACTGTTTAAAGTGGCTTTGAGTGTCTTTTGCTGTGAAGCAGTCACATTCAAAATACCTTATTTGTCACATCTTGGACATAAAATTTATTTTACAATGATGGATTGAATTTATAATTCTTACTAGTAGCAAAGCTCATTATAGAAGCAATACAATGAGCTCTAGAAAGATGTGAGAGGCACCTTACAGGCCTTGCTCCATTCCACGCATTTCCATACACGTGAATGCAGCTGTACACAGCCCCTCAGCGTTTTCTTATACATCGTCTCTCTATCCATCTGTCTGCCTGCACAGAGGACCCCGGCTGCAATCCGCCTTCCCCCCCTCCCAGTGCTCGGGCCCACGCTGCTCGTGCATGTCGTCCTTGTCCTCCTCCTTGGGCGGCTTGTCCTCTCTGGCGGTGGCCCCTATTCGCTCCGCCCACTGGGAACGACTTGGGGGGGGCAGTCGCTCATAGCAGAGAGTCAGCGGCGGGACAAAAGGTCACACCCACACCCCCCACCATTGCCAGATGTGCCCCGCGGTCCATCACCCACCTGGAGGCACAGAGGAGCGTGGGGCCAGGCGAAGCAGCAGAGAGGCTGCTGGTAGGGGAGTGGGGGGAAGTGCCGCGTGAGGAAGGTGAGCCGGGCCCGCAGTGGCATCATGCGGTGGCGGCCAGAGATGGGGCTGCCCCCGGGAGCGCCAGAGGCTCTGGGGTCAAGAGAATCAGCCAGTCAACGTGGGCCGAGCAGCACGGAGCCACAAAGAGCTGCTGGGATGGGGGAGAAGGAGGCTAGAAGCCAGGGGCCTGGCCGAACGAGCCGTACTCTCCTCTGAGGTGGTTCTGTTGTGAGTTGATTTTTGGCGTGTGCTGCTTCTGTGGGCAGTACTCAGGCAACGCAGCCACCAATGGATAGAGACCCCTGGTGAGTGACACATCAGGGAGCCAATGGATTTGGGAGCAGTGTTCCCTCTAAGCTGAGTTAGTGTGAGCGAGCTCACAGTATTTTAGCCTCTGGCTCACACATTTTTGTCTTAGTTCAGGAAGGATGTCTCCAGAGCAAACTAATTTATGCAGTAGCCAAATCACCTGCTCACAACCACAGAGTAAAATTTTTGCTCACAAGACTCCACAGCTTACACGGAGCACTGTTTGGGAGTGTGTGGAATGTTCAGGAAAGAGTCACCCCAAAACAGAATTATATATAAGGAGAGAATCTCTCTACATAATAATCCTGTTTGGTGGTGGCACTCCTGAACATTCCATACGCTACCAAATCAGTTGGCTCCCTGATCTGTCACTCAGAAGCTGTCCCTATCCACTGGCTCCTCCAATATTCTAAACAGTTTGCTGTTCCTTTTCCCCCAACACAGAGGTCATTTGCATATGCGGCCTGATTGACCTTTGCCTCTAACATTCTAAACAGTTTGCTGTTGGGCATCATTGAATGTGTCCAGAGGTAAAATACATATCCTAATTTCCCCTTAAACGGTCACTGGGGTTGCTAAAATACATATCCCAATCGTCTCTTAAACAGTTACTGGAGTTGCCAATCTCTCTGTGGGGCCTGGAGATCTCCCAGAAATCACCGTGTTCCCCAGCCACAGCACATCATTTCCCCTACAGAAAATTTCCCAGCTATTACAATGGCTG